AGTAGTCGAAGCCGCTCCCGCAAAATGTCCCTCCATATCCGGCCTCCGACTCCGATCCACCTGCGCCCCCTTCTCCCTCCCCGCCGCCGCCTTCTCCTGCGCCGTCTTCTTCCTCACATGCCTCTCCCTCGCCAACTCCAACGCCGTCTTATTATTCCCCTCCGCCGCCGCCGCCTCTTCCTCCTTCCCACCCCCCTTCTCCTTCGCATCAATCTCGGCAAAACTCTGAAACCCATCATTACTCGCCTTAACCTTACTCTGCTTGATCCACTCCCCCCTTCGCCGCTTATAAATATCCATCTTCCAATTCTTCCACACCGCGCGCCCATGCCCGGAATCCCGCAGCGCCGCCTCGTTCTCCGCCAGCTCCTCGGCGATCCGCTCCCGGATGAACGCCAAGCCGTGCGTGCCCTCCCAGATGCAGTCGACAACGTGCGAGGCCGAGGGGTCGAGGGCCATGTCGCCGATGGCGCCGTAGAAGCGTTGGACGAGCTTGCGTTTCATGATGATGGAGCCGTTGCGCGAGGTCAGGGCGGCTTGGATGGTGTGGCAGATGATGGGGTCCTTGGCCATGCGTTGTAAGGTTGCTGGGTCGGTTTCGGTGAGGGAGTCGAGGATGAGGCTGGAGAGGGGACCCGGGACGCAGAGCATCGCTTGTGCGAGAAGGTTGAAGTGGACCTTTACAGGCTGGGAAGGTCGCGAGGATATGGCTGGCGGCTCGCTGCCACTGCTCTGAACGCTGTCATGTGGTGTGTCGCTCGTGTCACCGTTGAGTGTGGGCTTGTACTCGTACTTCAGCAGCTTCTTGAGCTCGAAGCCGTTCGCGTCCCCCAAGGCGGCATCTAATTGCACGGCTATGGCTTGCGTATCCACATCGCGTATGGCGCAGCGTTCGATCAATGTCCTGATAACAATCGTGCGGTTCTTCTCCAGTAGGCTCGGTATCGCTGGGATGAGCATCTCATGCACATCCTGCAAGTCGTCCTTGCTCAGTCGCTCGAGCACGCGGCACATTACGTAGCCCGCGATGTCGTTGCGTGCAAAGGCCGCCGAGCGCTCCTTGAAGAACTCCTTGACCAGGCTCTTGAACATCTTCCCGGGCGCATGCTGCACAATTTGCTCTACTAGATGTGAGCCCACCGGGTCATAGACTAATCCATTGATGAACGTCGCACTGCCGCTCTCGGCAGTGATAGGGTCATCTGGCAGCAGTGTCCGGATGATGGATGTCTCATCTTTCGCGCGTTGCTTGCCGAACTGAGTGAGCTCGAGTTTGAGCAAGAGTTGCAAAGTCGGGTTGCCGTTCGGGTGAGTCGCCAACGCTCGGAGCTTATCGGTGTCGAGTCCAGCAACGCTCTCGACGATGAGCCTCTCCAGTGAATCGCTGAACGACTTGGGGACCGCGCGTGACTTGTCCTCACCAGCTATGGCAGACGATGGCCTGCCTTTGTTCGACACGCCCTCCTTCCTCTTACTCTGTAACAGGTGCTTGCTAGCCTCCGAGCTCAGCGGTTCGCCAGAGAGCACCAGCAATAGCACTCGCAAGGCGTGGGAGCCAAATTGATCGGTCAGGAGATAGCCTATGCTGCCCTCAAGCTCGGCCAAAGTGTGTAGGAACAGATTCTCCATCGAGACATATATCTCGTCTTCTGGTTGCGAGGCCTTCCCAACAGCAGACCTCGGATGTGCCGCACGCATCTCTTCCGTCACGGCCGGCGCAGCGCGCAAGAAGAGCTCCTCGCAGCAATGAGATGCGAATCGATGGGAGATCAGATGAATGAAGCTATCACGCCGTCAGCAATGCGTTCCAGACACACCACACTCCACAAATCACGGCAACATACTTCCCACTGAACGCCTGAAACAGCTTCTTCAGCTGCGCCGCCGTCGAATTCTGGATCAACCGCTCCATCAAGCGCGAGCAAGACTGGCTTTGCGCAATCTTCAGCTCCTTGCCCTCGGCGCTGGCGTGGACCTCTGACAAGAACAGCTCCCGTTCCTCGGCGCTCTCAAAGTCGTTGTTTCCTAGTGTCTCGTCCGCGAGCTTGAAGTTCTCCTGCTCGGCGGCATCGAGCATGCCGAAGAAGGGTCTGTCCAGCGAGGAATTCGGGTACGCTGCATTGAGAGAGTCGTCCTGACCAGGTAGGGGGGTCAAGTTGGGGTTCGCGGGCTCGTCGGTCGCCTTCTGTCGCTTGCTGCTCTCCTCGCCCGTTGGGTCCTGGTCATGTTCTTCATCCTCGTCATGCTTGCGCTTCATGCGCCGGCCGCGCTTCTTGTTCTCTTGCGGCATCTTGGCTTGCGGTGACTCTGAGGTGTGTAAATAGAAAGCTGCGTTGGACAATAGGGCATATACGAGGTATGTCAAGTGGCAAGAAGAACGCGCTACTCGCTAGATATGAACAAGATATGGGACAAGATCGGTGGTGGGGTCGGCGTCGGGAGAAATCCGAGGTGGAGTTTTTCCGCTTCGGATCTCGCAAATCACGATCGAATCTCGATCCCAGAAAAGCGACTCCGATCCCTCTCTAACCTATTTTCGGAGTCGGGCCGGAACTTGACATTGGCTCCAAGACACACGGACCGAAGCGAAGAGTCCCGTCTTCCTCAAACCCAAGGTCACGTGGACAGTAGCAAGGCAGTTGTACAGCTTTCCCGCCATGTACTACTATACTACACGAGTCCCGGCTTCAGCGATCAAGGCAAGGTCTTTACCTCCCCCTTGACGGCATGCCCCTCCCCCGCCCTCTCATAGCCCGCTGCGCCGCCCCAGGAGGCAATCCCTTCGTCGGCGCCTGCGGCTGCTGCGACTCCTGGTTCTTAATCGTCTCATCCACCGACAAAATCAAACAACTCGCCTCCACGGCCGCCTGAATGGCATTGATCTTCACCAGCGCGGGCTCCCACACAAATGCCTCGAGATTGTCGCGAATGCCTTCGTGGTCGAAATCCACTCCAGCCCAGATATTGCCCTTGCGGTGCTCCACGCGCAAGCGATTGAGGATGTCCGTGGCGTCGAATCCGGCATTGTCGCAGAGCTGACGCGGAATGACCTCGAGCGCTTTGGCGAAGCTCTTGATGATGCTCTGCTGCTTGTGCGGCACGTTCTTGTCCGCGAAGCCGTGCAAGTACGCCGAGACTTCCATCTCGCACGCGCCGCCGCCGGCGACGATGGTGGTGTTCTTGATGGCGCGCTTGACGACCATGATGGCGTCGTGGAGCGAGCGCTCGACCTCGGCGATGAATTGCTTCGCGCCGCCGCGGAGGACGAGGGTGCAGGTCTTGGCTTTGGGGCAGCCCTCGAAGAAGTTCAGACGCTCGCCGCCGATCTGCCGCTCGTCGAAGCGCTCGCATGTGCCAAGGTGCTGTGGCTTGATGTCCGAGCAGGTGGACTGAAGGTTGGCGCCGGTGGCTTGGCATACGCGCTCCATGTCCTCGGATGCGACACGGCCGGCGCAGAAGATGTCGCGGTCGGCGAAGTACTGTGTAGCGAGATCGCCGATGGGGAGTTTCGACAGGACTACTTTTGCACCGGTCTTGTGCAGGGCCTCCATTTTGTCGTAGATGATGCGCCATTCCGCATCGACGATCGCCTGGTATTCCGATACTTGCTCCACACGCACCTCAGCGTTGTCCTTCTCACTCTTCAATTCCAGCTCGACGTTCAGGCACACAATCGACGGATCTTTGAACGATTTCGGTTGTTGTTCAAAGCCAGCGTATGCAAATGTCTTCTTGAAAGCCACGCCATTGACGAAGAGCGAGTCTTGCAGTGCACCACCGGTGATTTTCTTTATGCCGATGAGCTTGTCGTTCAGGTCGTCTTGGTCGAGTGTAAGGACAGCATCCACAACCACTGTACGCTATGTCAGCCCAGTCACATCCCGCCCGGACACTTCCTGTTACATACTCTTGGTGAAGAAGTCGGCATTCCGATGTATCAGCTTGCTACTCATCGCTGTCGCCGCCAGCTTCCTCAACGTCTCCCTCTGATTACCCTCGCTCGTATTGACCGCAATTTCCCGAATCTTGTTCACCGCCATCATACTCGCTCTTCTCAGTCCTTTGATGATAGTCTGACTGCTCACGCCCTGCTCCACAGCCTCCTTGATCTCCTTCAACACCTCTCCCGCAAGCACCACCACCGACGTCGTCCCGTCTCCCACCTCCGCATCCTGTGACCGCGCAATATCCGTCAAGATTCGCGCCGCGGGGTGTACGATGTCGAGCAGCTTCATGACGGTCGCGCCGTCGTTTGTGATCGTTTGCTTGCCATTCTCGTCCACGAGAAGCAGATCACCGCCGTAGGGACCCAGTGTGCTTTTGATTGTGGACTGCACCGCCAAGCAGGCGGTGATGTTCGATAGTATCTGTCCGCGGCCTTGCGACTGGTCGGTTCCTGGGAGGAGTCAGTATGGATTACGGCATCGGTGAGGTTCGAGTCCTTACCCTCTTTGAGCACAATAATGGTCGGTGTTTGCCCGCCGAAGGACATGCTGGCGGAGCGCTCCGCAGATTTCGGTGTGTAGTGAGGTAGGATGCAGATGAAGGCCTATGGTAAGACAGGTTTGTCTGGAAGTCTAAGTGGGGTTGCGGTGCGCGACGTGGTATGAGGATGTCGTTTTAACAGCTTGACGCGGTGCGCGTGTCCATGTCGCCAAAACTTTTGAGCCTCGCCCCGCTGGAATGACTTGTTGCCTCAGGCATCTCTAGGATTTCGAGCATTTTGAAATACATGTAGATGCGAGGGCTCCAGTCTCCAAAAAACCGAATAAGATATAGGAGCGACGGGATCAGGTACATGTGCCCTTGTGTTCCTTGGACGAATAATCGCGGAGAGGCAGGAGATGTGTGAGATTGATGTTTGGAACGAAGTAAATGTCTCAAAAAGGCAGGCACGACATATGAGTGCAAACTTCTTATTACATTTACCTGATAGGAAGAAGACCACTCCGGGGACGGTGATGAGCTAGCACCAGGGCAAAACATCAAAAATATCATTCTGTCTCCCCTCTCGGGTTCGAACCAAGGACCTCAAGATGTCGACGACGAGACGACCGGAGTACCATTACAGTCTTGCGCTCTTCCAACCTTCAAGTTTGTTAGCGTGGAACCGTCGAGTGCGATGTTACGGATACTCACTGAGCTAAGGAGAGGATGTCAATTATCAGCGCTGTTTATCTTATATAGAGTAGACAATGTGAGCGAGGTTTAGCCGAGATCCACCTCACCTCATGCCCCCGCCAAAATAATAGCTCAAGTCTTCACCGCCGTCACGACCACAAATACGCCTGCCCTTGCCAGACAGCCCACTCGAGGCCTGGGAGGACATGATAGACCTACATTTAGACTGCATGGAGCCGCGTGACCATCGGTGAGACGACGAGAACCCTGCTTACAACGTGCGGCCGCGTGATGATGGAGATTAACCGGACGCATCAACCGTGCATGAATAATGTACCTGCATGACCAGGTTGTTTGCGGAGAGCTGGAGAAGGATGGCGATCGAAAACAGACGAACGCGGGGAGGCCAAGATGCGGCCAAGACTAGGAACACGCACATGGACGAGGCCTGGCCCGCCTGGGCCATCTCCAAGACGCCTCTTAATACCGACACGCATCGGCTAATTCAGATGACACCTGCCTGGCAAACACCCGGAAGCGAGACCGCCGGACTCATGGAAGACGAAGCGGTCGAGCACGGCATGTCTGTACATGTATATGTTCGTCCGGTCCGCTGGGAACTGCAGAGCTCCATCCCTCACCACCTCCCCAAAGAGTCTCCACCATGGTCGCCGCACTTACAGCTCTGAGCGCTGCGCTGCTCGTCGCCGTTGTTCAAGCCAACCCTCCAGGTTACGGAGGTCCATCAGGCCCTGTCATCAAGGTCGACACCAACTGCAAGTACCAAGAGTACGATGGCACCGGTGTCTCTGAGGCCTTCCAACGCGGCCTTGTCATCCATGAGTTGAACGCTGCCGCCCAGAACCTCGTGCTGGATTTCCTCTTCACCACGAAGGGCGCTGGCATGACGATCCTAAGGAACGGCCTCGGCTCTGCCACATCGGACCCTTTTGACTTGATGAAGTCGATCGCTCCGGTGGCTCCTGCTTCAAACAGCAGCGCACTCAACTTCATCCCGCTGCCTCGGGAGGATGAGTACCAGGTTTGGCTGTCCCACCAGGCGATCAGCCGTGGAGTCAATACCATCTACGCCGATGCGTGGAGCGCGGACGGCTACATGAAGACCAATGGTATGCTAGTCCTCCAATGCGCTGAACGCTATCGTACACACTAACGCAACCCAGGCACCGATAGCTACGGAGGGTATCTGTGCGGTGTGACCGGCACTTCATGTGCCAGTGGCGACTGGAGGCAATCTTATGCCAACAAGATTGTGAAGTACATTCAAGACTACGCAGCCAATGGCATCACCGTCAAATACGTTGGCTTCCTCAACGAGCCTGATCTCAACACGACCTACGCCTCCATGCAGTCCGACGGCCGTCAAGCCGCCGACTTCATCGAGGTGCTCTACCCCACGCTCGCAAAGGCGGGCCTCAAGACGCAGATCGCTTGCTGCGACGGCAGTGGCTGGCAACAAAACCGCGAGCGCTTGACTGGCATCCAGCTCGCTGGTGATGAGAGCAAGCTTGGCCTTGTGACCGCTCACGGGTACAGCGACTACCCTAGCTACCCGTTCAACACCACCAAGCACGTACGTCACATCCGAAGCTAGCTCCAGTCCGTACAATCCTTGAGCCGATCGCTGACTGTGGGTTCATCAACACAGGTATGGCAGACCGAGTGGTCGACCTTTGATCCCATCAACTACGCCTGGTACTCCGGCGGCAACGGTTTCCAAAGCGACGGCATCACCTGGGCCAACAACATCCACAACCTCTTCGCCGTCAGCAACGCCAACGGCCACCTCTACTGGTGGGGCGCAGCCAACACGACCGACAACCAGAGCCTCATGTTCGTCAACGGCACCTCCGAAGTCCGCGTCACCGGCCGCCTGTGGGCGCACGCCCACTTTGGCAAGCAGTTCATCCGTGCGGGCGCCTACCGCGTCGACGCGACCGTTACGGGCAGTACCGCGCTCAATGTCACGGCTTTTGAGAACACGGATGGCAGTACGGCCGTGCAGGTGATCAACAACAGCAACGATACTCTTTCTGTTCACCTCCAGGGTTTGAACTTCCATCACGGAGCGCAGACGTGGCTTACGAACAACCTGCACAACTTGACGGAGGGGTACGCCGCGACGAGACATGGCCAGAATGGGGTTGTGGCCCAGGTGCCGGGGAAGTCTCTGCTGAGCTTCGTCTGCTGAAGGCAAGATTGAAGCGACGGAACGGGTTGATAGCAGCTTCATTGCCATGCCCAGTTCCTCTCAATGCATTTCCTATTCCGGTCGTGTGCAGAACTATTGCCATGTCTTGGGCCGACGCTGCGAAAGGTGAGCAGGATGATAAGAACGTCAAGTTACAAAGTGGACGGCGTCAAAGGCTGCATAGCACACTACTGTACACGCTTGCATGACTTGAACCTCACGTCGATTCCTGTGGTGCTCACTGCTCAGTTGGCTGGTGACGCCAGCTAGTTCCGGTACCTCCCTGGCCAATCATCGGTGGTCAAGCATAGGCTGTACCGCAGGGCGAGTCACGTGCTGAGTGCTTCTGTTGATCGGACGTCACCACTCTCCTTCTGCAACGCATGTAGCATGAAATCAGTAGTGCTTCCTTCTTTCTAGTAGGCAGGAAGACCAACATTGAGGGCAGCATCAGGACTGCCGTCCTCCTAATCTTCACAGCGAACGCAGATGTAGGCCAGTAGTTCTAACAAAACGCAGCGTGTGTCTGTGAAGAATGCAAGATGCAATCCGTCTTCAAGCTGGAGCGGCAGAACTCTATTCGAGATGAGTGCACTATTCGACGACGCCGGATTCATACGAAGTCCCGAGGAGCATGTGAGACGTGCAGAAGGAGGAGAGTCAAGGTGAGACGAGTTCATCAAATGCAGGTAGTCTACTACTGATCATCAACCACCACAGTGTGATGAAGCCAAGTCAACATGTGGCAGATGCCTCCGCGCCAAAGTCGCTTGCAATTACAGAGTGCCACCCAATCTATACCAGCCGCCTATCGGTGATCTCACGGGTAGCATGCATACCATGTCTCTAGCCGTGCTCGACACGCAGCTAAGCACCTTGCTCGGAAAGCCCTCATCCACCACGAACATACTTCCGACCGACGAGCTGCGCATCCTCCGGCATTTCCACGCGGTGACCTCCCGTTCGATGGGCTCCGAAGCAACGCAGAAGATCCTGCATCGCAACGTGCTGAAACGGGCGTGGGGTCATCCGTACCTGATGCATATGGCCCTCGCGGTCGCCACTGCGCACATGAGACGCCTGAATGTTAACGAGTCCATTCCGAGAGCGGGCAAGCAGTTGTCCGTTGTGGAAGCCAGGCACTGGCAGCGAGCGCTACTGCTCCATCGAGAGGAGTTGTCGACATCCAATAGCGAGTATGACGCCCGCTACGATGCCCGGGTCGAAACGACGTTCCTCACCGTGGTATACTCCTTCGCTCTAGAAGACTGTCTGCCACTAAATGCCTTCTCCACCGGAAGCGACGATCTGCTCCTGCACGCCCTCTCTCCTCTCGCTGCATGCAATGGATTCCGAGCCTTACGAATCATCGAGGGCCCGCGCGGCTCATCTTCCACCTGGCTGCCAGTCTTAATGGCCACAGCCAGCGGTAGCGAGCACGGCGCATTCGGGAGCGAGAGGCCTGGCATAGACGGCTTACCCGCAGCCCTCGTCGATCTGTGCGGGCTCAACGCAGAATCCACATCTGATAGCGACGAGTACCACCGGGTCTTGCGCCTGCTCGCTCCAGTTCTGAAACTCAAGCCCAGCACTGATAACTTCCCGAAACTGTTCTCGGTTGCCGGGCGCAGTTGGTTGACTGTCAAGCCCTTGCTGCTGCGGAAGGATCATAGGGCGTTGCTGCTGGTGTCCTACTGGTTCGCTTCGCTGCATCAGATCGATCAGTGGTGGCTGACCGCCCGTGCCAGGTCGTCGTGCGCAGCGATTATTGCGTATCTGGCTCAAGAGTCCGACGACGATAGAATACATCGTCTGCTGGAGTACCCGGCAACCTTTGGACGGTGTGGTCTTTCGCGGATCTGGGAGGCAGGCTGAAGTATGCTTCTCCTTACTCGAGATCACTAGCACTATCCCCTATCTACCGTGCGGCGACATCAGCATGCACGCTTGATTTCCGAGGGTGTGAGCCACAGACCCGGAAGCCCAGAGGCTAGACGACCGACCGCGATAGCCAGCGGCGCGGACTCCAGGCAGCCGAAGTGAGGCCCTTGTGGAGGGGGGCTTTGCACCAGCCCTCAAGTACCGTTGGCGAGTCCGAAGCACGTCCGCGAGTAGAAGCGCAAGCGTGACAATGATCAAAAGCGGTCAAGAAGAGGCGACTGATCGGGACATGACTGCGTCGGCGCCAGGCTGGGCCTATACCCTGGCCAGCGACCAAGAGCCAGCAGCGATGTTTCCAGTCGGACAAACATGGTATCGAGCCTTATATGAATGTGGGTCGTCGGACATCGCGCGGGCCCACGCGATTGGGAAAGCTCAGATTGGTGTACTTGTCTACGACGGTACTCCTTCGACCTTGGAGGGTTGTGATATGCTTATGGGAGACTCGAGATGATATCGAGGAAGTCCAAGTCAGCGCTCGGGTGGTAGATCAGCGCAGTAGCTGTCTGTTAGAAATGGCGAAGGGCTTAGATAGTCCGTTGATGCCTACCTACCCGGGAAACCCACCCCTGGCCATCTTCCGCGCGCGCTGATCACGGCGATTATGATTCGCCCGACTGCCCTTACTCGCCTCCTTGCGCCTCTGCGTCTCCGCCGTGCCCTGCTCGCCGGACGGACCCGCAACACTACCACCCCTGCCACGTCCGCGCCCGCCTCCCCTGCCGAACCGGCCTCGGCCTCTGTAACCTCCGCCTCTGCCTCCCGCGCCAGGAGCGTCCGAGTCCTCCGTCTCGGTGCCGTCTCGGTACGCAGTACCCGCCAGCTCTGTTTGCCGTCCATC